AGAAGTATGGATCTCGTCTCGCGATCACTTTGGTCTTTTTTTTCGATAATATTGGTCTCGCATTAATTCTTTCTTTTCAATTGCCGCTATCCCAATGATAAATTCAATACATTTGTCGACATCTTTTCATATTACTTAATGAAATGTAATATAACCACGTGCGAGTGTGTGCGGTGACTTTGTAAACGTTTTCAAATAAGATTAAGTGAACGATTTAACCAAGCATTTTTGTATGTAACAATGAAACCGAAAACTACACGCTAACAGCACACAATTGATAGTTCTCTACGATATTTTGATCGGTACACAACGTATTTTTGTTCGTAAAATATCTAGTCCATACGACCGAAATTCGATTGGTACGTCGATTCATGAAATAAAACTGTATCCTTGAAGTAAGTAATAATTGTTAGCGAAGGTAACTTTAGCGTTGTAGGCAAGTATAGCATTGTATTTAACAGTATTTCAGTCATGTTGTAAATAATAAAGGAATCAAGACCAAGATACTTACCAAGATATCGAGTATATCATCTTGTGTTATTTATATTCTTGCTTCAGACAGTCTCGATCTCCCATTGAAAATACTTTTAATTTCTTGTCTGGTTATTGTCTCGGTTTTTCAAGGCAGGGGGCAATATATTATAATATCGGTATTATTCTCGGCTCTTGTGGGAGCCCTGGGTGGGAAGACTTCGACGGGTGTTCTTTATTAAGAAAACAAACTCGGCCGGCGAATACGTTCAGCTGAAATGGACTCGCTCGACACCTCCGGTTAGCTTTCCATTTAATGCGACCGTTGATAAATAGCGAACTGTATCAGGGCTCGATGAGCAATTTTAATTACAGCAGCGCGGCCGAGAATGCCCTGATGAATTTATGGTTCCGAGCACGTAAGAGTGATAAAGATCGAGGCGCTCGCGAAATTCCTCTTGCGGCGGCTGCGTCCTGTACCTGTAACAAAGAGCGAATTCTCATAGAGATTGAATTAACGCTGGCAGGAACACGAGCTTTTTTCCCACGTCCGAGACACGGTGTTTTCGCGCGTCGGAGAACCCGCGACAGCGATCACTAAACTTCTGATCCGTCGCCGAGATAGACCCGTTCATCCTGCTCCCTAACAAACTCGGCGTTAACAATCGCACCGGGATCAGCCTGTAAACAGAGATATAAATATTCCTTATATAAATTCTCAATCGCGCGCGCAGGTCCCGTGGAACTTATCTACCGTATTCCGGTCTACAATCAAGGTAGTAATTAAGCCCTCGAACGATCGCCTCGCGGCGACGCGGTAGGCTGGGTCTTCTATGATCCGTGCTGCGTTTTCGTAAGGCGCAGGGTGCGTTTAAACCGCTAACCGGGTATGTATAAGGAAATATTGTAAGGTCGTTTTTCCCCCTCTAGAAATTTCAAGGTCACCTTTTCCGAATCTGCACAATCTATCGAAAAGAAAGGAATTTATCGTTGGCTGAATCCGTTTCAATCTCCGTTAAAAACCGGTGTAAAATGTGGAAGGTGACCGCGAGAACTTGGGAGAAAAAGTGTCCTATAATCGTCCCGGAGACCTCGAACGATATTACGAGCCGCAAAAAATAATTTCGTGAGGACCACCAACAACTGGAATAATTAAGATGATCACGTTAGGTGGTCCGTGTGATCCATTCGTTTCAGCGATTCAAGGAAAAGTGACGACACTTAATGATCGTATATCTAAAAATAGTTTAGTATAGCTGAATGAATCGGTAAAAGCGCAAAGGTTAAACATTTACAAAATATTCAAAGAAGGGAAACATTTCTCACGCTAACTAAAATGTACCTTATGGCGAATATAGAATAATATTCGATCGTTTCGACATTTTTCTGGCAGCTTTGAAATCTTAAGCTATCAGAGCCATCAGAGATTCCTGTTCTTTATTGTCAAAATACTGAATCGAGTGATTTTTTAACATCCTCGCAAAACGAAGTTTTTTTGAAAAACGAAACAAATTTTCCGAACGATAATACAATTAATTACAAACTGCCATGTACCATAACTTCTACTGTTACCTTGTTTCTACCGTTTCATCCCGATCCTAAACAAAGTTTTCCATTTGCGGACCTTCCACAGGACAAAGTTACGCAATGTAGGAGAAATGAATTCTAAATTTGTCACGTAGATTCATGCGTTTTCGGATTACGCGTGTCGCCAGGTGTGTACCGCGGGAACATTTTCCAATTGTAGAGGCCAGGTGTTTAATTCGCTAACGACCGCTCTCGTTTTACTTAATCAATATTCAGTTACAATTTCAACACCGATTGACGGGGCACTTGATACTTCGACGGATTCGTTATTGTGCAACGTTTCGCGGTATTTTATGCCGTGGGAAACGTGTGCGAGATCGGTCGCCTCGTTTTCACGGAAATGCAATTACACCGTGCGCAATCTCGGTTTCCGGGAAGAAACTCCGAGACACGCGGCCGAAGTGCCGAGTTAAATGTGTATTACCGGCCTATTAAAAGTTCCGGGGAGATTTAACGGAACCATTTAGAATTTCTGTTCCATCTGCCGACCGTTTTCGCACGGCGAACGAAATTGTTCGCTTCGCGACAAACGGCACGGCGAATTCCGTGCCGGGGATTGTTTCATTCGCGAAAGGTTTAACGCGCAGCATCTGCTCTGATTCTAGATTGCGCATCACTTTCTCATCAGCGTTAATTAGCGGCGGGAAGACGACGAGACGAGATATCTTCGCGTACCGGAGGGTTTAATATAAGAATTAGTCATTGTTTAAGCGTACAGTTGCCGGCTAAAGTTGGGAAACCGAACGATGGTATTATTTAAAATAATCTTGCGAAATTATCCAGAAATAATTGCAATATATTTATTTTTGCAGTGAAATTGTATCGATCATTGAAAAGCAACACGAAGAAAGAATTCTGCAGTGTCTAATTGAAATCGTATAACGTTAATGCTGCATGATTTTTTTAACTCGGATCAACAGAAATTCGTAATGAGACCAGAATATTGAAAATACGTTTGACGAAGGAAGAGCGAAATTTGAAAATGAAGGACTTCGAGTGAACTAAAGTGTTCGAGTTCGAAGGATGAAGAGAAAAACGCATACGTGATAAACGTATATTTTCGAGGGAAAATTATTCTTAAATCATAAGCGACAAGACTTTGTGATCGAACTAAACTGTTCGTTGTAAATATTATTAAATGCAAATGCGACTTTAGAATGTATGCAGCAGGCTGTATGTGTATGTCGTAATCGAGTTCGGCTGGCTTCGACACGTGTCATGTTCGATAATAAAAAGTTATCAAAAATTATCGGCATCGTTATTGTTAATTCAAACCAAAACACTGTTCAAGCTAGCAAGAGTTCGAGAGATGAAGAGTAAAGCAAAAACAAATTATACAAAAGGCAAAGGTCTGTGCAAGCGAACGAAAATATTCAGCTTTGAAGGAGTTTAAAGAACGAAAAATAAGATTTAAAAATGATACAAGACGCACGCACAATAAATATTTGAAACATAAGCGTCGAAGGAGTTTGGAGAACAGAAGATGAAGTTAAAAAAGTTAAGAAGAAGAAGAAGAAGTTAAGTAAAAAATGATACGGGACGGATGCGTGACAAACGTATATTAGCAAGACAAAGTTTCAATGGAAGCCTAAAAAACGACGTGACTCATGGACCACTCCCTTTGCGCGAAAGAGTTTGAGCCACGCGAGAGGCAAGTTTGGATCAGACTGTAATTCGGCCGAGATTTTTCGCGGCCGGGCCTGATCGGCGCCCGAATAGTCGGTCGCCTGCGTTTCGTCGTATGGAAATGAGGCGGTTATGTGAACGGATGTACAGTTACACGAATCGCCGAAGTCGAAGGAGAAGAAGAAGAAGAAGAAGAAGTAGAAGAAGAAGAAGAAGAAGAAGAAGAAGGTGCCGGTCTGAAAAGAGGAGCGAGGCAGAGGAGGGAGACCCGCGCGGAAAGGAGGCCACAAGCGAGGAGACCTGGCCGTCACCGTTATATTGGCGCTCACGGCGAAGCACCTTGGTTCACCTCGATTTACGACCAGTTTCTCGTAACTCGGGACCACGTGTGCCGCCAGTTTCGACGTTATGCTTGACCTCTGCACCCACCTGTTCAGGACATCGCAGGTGGCTAGTTCGTGTGCACTGGCAACAGGTACGGGTTCACCGGGGAATAGATTAGGACAGCGTTAATTTTACCGTGGCGAAGACAAATCGCTTTCCTGTCATGTTGAGCGGCTGCTTCGCCAGGAAACTGTTTGCTGAACGTATTTTCACACCGATCCATTCGCCAGGTCTGTCGAGAACCGATTCGATCGGGATCGAAAGGGTCGACGGTTTTGAGAACATTTTTCACAACAGACCACGAATTTTATGCGTTTATGAGAAAAATGGTCAGAAGAAGTACAGAAAACGGTACAGTACAAACAAAATAAAGGAATTTTGTTTTCGGGCATAATTAACTTTGTATTTATCGGATGAGATACATTAAACTTTCTTTTTTATTAAAAAGTAAACAAAGTGAAAGGATTAGTCTTTTTATTAAGACACGAACGAAATAAAAGAATAAACCTTTTTATTAAAAAATAACCAGAATAAGAGAATAAAAAGATTTAATATGTCTCAATCGATAAATATAAAGTTAATTATCTCCGGAAACAAATCTTTTTATTCCTTTATCTTTTTTTGTTTTTGAATAAAAAATTTTAATACGTCTCATTCGATAAATATAAAGTTAATCATGCCCGGAAATAAACCAAAGGCACAGCAGTTTGTCACCCCACAGTAACCGGCTCCACTAGCCTGCAAAGATTACAGCAATTTAAGGATGTTGAAGCGTTATTCTCAACTTATTAACATTGTTCAAGGATGAAAAAGACATCTAACTAACTACTGGTTTTCACAATTGACGCAGACGATGTTCATTTTTCATGAACCTTGTAAACGATTTCAGAAAAGTTATGGTTGTGGAGACGGTAAAGGTATTCGTGTTTGGACGAAATGAACAAATTTGACATTTCCAATATAATTTTATGAAGTTGTTGATACATGAAACTAGAATTTACCGGTTATAAATATGATATTATTTCCGGACGTTAAAATGGCGGTAACAAATCAATACGGTGGAAACGCGAATACGAATTAGTTTCACGAATTGCTACCTCGAGCACGAAAATCTACGATCGGATGAGATAAGCGCCAAATGAGATTGTTCGCACCGTTTACAAGTTATAAAACACCGTGCAAAGCATACTACTTATTCGGTATCCGTGAAAGCTGTGTATAATTGACACGCAGAACGAACGAGGATTAAAAAAGTCCGCAGTTTCGCAGTTTACACGGTTCGCGCTGTACAAGTTCGGCGTTCTGAAACAAGCGGAAAGATCGCTATCGAGGTGTGGCATATTAAATTTACGCCAACATAGATCACAGCGTTGTTATCGTCTCGATGCTTGCTGTTTGACGCTGATTAAAAAATTTCGCCACCTGTCTCGCATTCGGTTTGTTAGAACCGTCGAACGACACCGAGCCTGAGTATCGTTTTGTCGTTGCAACGAATTCCTCGATATCGCAGCTGGAATACTCGTCGGACGATTTGGTCATGCATCCCTCGGCCAGCATCGATTTGAAAGTCTATGCGATGCAGACGGTCGTGATCCTTTCGCATATCGCGGAAAATTACGCTCCGCAGATCTATGGTCCCATAGAACGGCCGGCGAGTCTCTCCATCGTTGTCACGATCCTGTCAATGTTATAGTTCTCATATAATACGACCGTTCGGAATACCAACGAGGAAGTCGGCGCATATTGTCCCTTGCCCCATCGTTCGCTGTACACATAGATTTTCCCAACTAACTTTCTAATTTCCATAGATTTGCCTCGAAGAAACTGTTTTGCGCGCCGTTGCTGCATCGTGTATTCCCAGGAGGATTGAAAATATTTCCAAGTTTATCTGCTGCGGAATCTGCGGAATCCGCATAGAAGCAAATAGTAAATCATTATCGTATGCGAACGCGATAATAACGCGTTGATGCAACCGAGTGACGCCGGGTGCTTCAGGGACTTTCATTATTTGCCGTAAATCCAGTAAAGCCGCAACACAGTTGACATTCAAGTTGACATAGATTTATTAAATGTCACAGTCTGTTGTGTCTATTAACTCCTCGATGTACCATTTTCTTCGTTGTTACAATGATCACTTCTTACGAATGTAATCACTTCTTAGAAGGATAAGAAAACTTATATTTCAGCCGTTTATTTTGAAAGTGGCATAAGTCACTTTGTTTTAAAGTCGAGATATTTAAGGGTTTGCGTTTTAACACGTTTCAAAATATGGATGCTAACTTTCGAGAAGATTTACTTGTATTTGTTATCTCAGGATACTGATATTTTCCTCAGTATAAATAATTTCGTATAAACATTAAAAAATCACCACTTTTCATCACGGTAAAGTGACTTAAGCCACTTTCAAAATAAATAGTTTAGAAAAATGACTGACATATATTAATTTTGTCCGACGTATTTTACTGGAGTGATGTTTTAAAAGGACAGTGATTTACTAAAATTGTTGAATAAATTACCTATATAATAATAATTTATACCATGAACATATTTAATATAAAGGTTTGATTTAAGTATTTTTTATTTTAATATTCATAAAATACAAAAATAATTAGTACATTTTGAAACATAAGTATAAGTAATTTATATGAAAATACATCAGTTCAATTTAATTTTCGTCATCAATAGGAGTGATTAAGTCCTCGGAAATCGTGTTTTGTTTCAAATTTTTTAAATAACTGTGGTATATTGGGGGTATATAATTAAGCAAGTCCATCATGTCTTTGTATTTTGCTGAAGAAACAGGACGAGATCCAGCGTATAACGGATCCATTTCTATTTGTGAATAACGCCTAGGTCTTCCTCTTTTTGGTGACAAATCCAAAGTTAGAATTTCATCTTTTTCATCTAAAGTTAGTTTATAAAACATAGCCACTATTCTTTCGCACTTATAAAAATAAGTCCAGTATGATCACAACTTTTTTAAAAATACTGAAAATAATTCAAAACAATACTTCACACACACTTGTCACACGTTTCTATTTCTTTTACACTAAGCCCCGCAATTAATTTCCTGAGTACAGCGACTTACGCCACTTTCAAAATAAACATGTTTGTTATACCGTTAATTAGCAAAACTTCTCTCGAACAAATCGCAATAGTTCTCAACTTATTGATTGCAAATTTTTTCACAATGAAAAGATACCGTTCAATTGTAATTAGTGTTACCATTAACTCGATTTTTTTGAAAAAGTGACTTATGCCACTTTCAAAATAAACGGCTCATTTATTGCCTGCCTAGATTTATTTGAATGCCTAAATGTTGATAACGAGGGTACAGCATTTTATTTCGACTTAAAGGTTGATTTACAGCTAGTTACTAAACCGCGGATTTTATGCATTTATGACATGAGTGAATAGATGCAATAATAAACTATGAAGATGCTGGTTGAATTTAAGTACACCGTTGCATCGTTGTCGACTTACGAAAATGATTATACATAGAAAGAAATTAGATTTTATTCGTTCTCTATCTTTCATAATTGACTTAGAACATTTTTATTTCGCACAAAGATTCGCAGTTTGCTAAACACTAAACGGTCTAATAAGACCAAAACTGATCGAAATCGGAGGAAGATCGAGTCTGCTCATGCTGTGGAAGACAGACTCATAGTTTGATAAAGTAATCGCAACAAAATCGTACGTGGTTTCGTTTCACTTTTTACAAAATGATCGCTCTCATTAACACAACGTAATACGTGTCTGTATAGAAGAATGCTCGTTAAAGCTGCAATTGTCCGACATTGTAAAAATAATATGCATCCTTGAATTATAGAGGAAGTGCAGTGTTACGCAATCATTAGATGGCTCGTGTTCAATATCACTTTCACTTATTGGACCCGTTCATTGAAGGCTTCCAATGGTTACCGTCCATTCGGAAACGGGGTGCTACGCAAGGTACCAATTAAATTATGTAAGACCTCCGGCGTCGCTCAAAAGAGTGTAGTATTCCATGGTAGCGCGCGTATCGCTTTCTTGAAACGGGGCTGCTGTTACCTGAATAAAAGCATCACGTGTTAGTCCGTATGTTAGCTAGCACGTGCTGATGTTCCTTACACCCGCTCCAAAAGTATCGGTGAATGCAAATACGATCCGCCACGTTCGCAAAAAATTGCAGCGCCGTAGAGGACACTCGGCGATCCTCGAATGGAAATGCTCGAGTATACCGGCCATGAAAATGTCGCGTGAGCGAGGTGTTCAATTCGAGCC